GACTGCTAGGCTCCATGTTGTTACCTCTCCCTGTGCCACAGCCTGGAACTTCTCTCCAGGCAGTAAGCTGAGGCTCACCCCCTCATTTTCCATTCTCATGGATCACTGTCCTTGGTTTTCCAAAGTCTGACATCTTGTAAACTGTTGTTCCTATAATTGTTTCTGGTAGAAGGGTAAATCCTGTCCTCCTTACTTTAGGTCGGTCATAAGCAGAAGATTGCTTTATCCTTTCAATACAAAACTCTGATCTATTATTTAAAACCTCCTAATGTGCCTCAATGGCCTTAGCATAAAAACTGAAATTCCCTGACATGGTCTAAAGGAACCTCCATGATCTTCCTCTGCTTACCTTTCAGCTGTGCTACAGGCACTCATCCTCTGCTTTTTGTGTCTTTCCACACACTTCCACCTCACCTCACCTCCTGCTGCATGCTAAGCTCTACCCGGCTTTAAGATCTAAAATAAATTTTGCCTCTTCAGAGAAAATGTCACTAACACCCTAGTCTTCTCCTTCCATGCCTTTTGTTTTAGTCACATCAAAACAAATAAAGTTACCCAAAATAGAAACTCTGGTATTTCTCATTGCCATGTTTGTGTCCTTGCTAGAATTCTATTTGTGCTTTGTCTGCTCAGATAGTTCCTATTTGTACTTTAAGAATCAAGGCAGGATTGCCACCTCTTGAAAACTTTCTTCTCTCATTTTCCTCCCCAGTCTGAATTACATATCTCCTTCCATTCTTTCTTAATACCTCCACTGCAGTGTTTTTCAAACTCTATGGTGAGAATTTGTTTCCCTGCCCTTCTGTCTAACCGGGTGTAAAAATAGAGTCTATAGGTTCTTCTTTGTACTTCCAGAGCCTAGCAGAGTGCCTTGCATCTATCTATCTATCTCTCTTTCAATATGTATTTTTTTTATTAATGAATAAATGGCTGTATAAGGCTCTTGCCCCTGCTAAACACTGATATGAGGTTGTGTGGACTCTGGCACTTTACAGGGAGAGCTCTGCCCTTGGAAAAAGGAGTTACATTAATCAAGCAGAACAAATCATATTGGATGCTATGGCCAATGCAATTAAGCCTTTGTCAAACTGCCTGACTTTGGCTCAAGATGAGAACATTGATGAAACGCCTCTCAACTGCCCGGGTTGGGGTCTGCTGAAATGGGCAATTACTGCAGTGAACAATCCATTACTTGTACTGTCAACAGTGTGTTTTTTCTCTCTAAATGCAGAATGAAGTGGAAAATGCTATGGGAACTCAGTGGCATTTAATTTACTGATATGATGTGGTAGGAGCCATTCTTTAACCTGACTGTAACAGCAATAGTTTGGGGATAAGTATGAGGTTGGAATGCACTGAGAAAACCATTCTAAACATCCTGTGCCTCACTCTTCCTGTATGTAAAATTAGTCTGATGGAAGAGAATGCTTGTCTCACCATGGTGGTTACTATGGTGATCAATGACTGAGATGCAATGTTGTACTGCCCTTAGTCATGCCAATTTCTTTCAATTCTGCTTGTTATTCCATAGAGGGAGAAATGACTGGCAGGTCTCATTTTCTTCTTTGAACTGGAAAAGTTGCTAGCAAGGCATGGCTTAGAAAGGCCATCATACTGGGGTGCCTAGGTGACTCAGTTGGTTAGGTGTGTGACTCTTGATTTTGGCTCAGGTCATGATCTCACAGTCGTGAATGACAGCATGGAGCCTGCTTGGGATTCTCTCTCCCCTGTTCTCTTCCCATTCCCCAACCCAACTCTCTCTCTCAAATTAATAACTAAACTTAAAAAAAGAGAAAGACTATCATACTGGCATTCTGTACAAATAACCCTGGACTGAGGAACAGGGCTGCCTGATCTCTCTACATTGTGGTGCATATAGAAACATGTGTATGGCACACTGGGGTGAGTGGATGAGATGTTTATAGCCAGAAGCGATCTGGTCTGGGACTTTAGTTGCCCCAGATCCTGTCTGGGTGTTCCAAAGGTCAAGGAGGTCAGAATCTTGGTATACTTCTGACCTGTCATGGCACACTAGTCAAGAAGCTCTGCTGTGGGCTCATTCAACCACTTGGCTACCACAGTGACTGTATCTCCAGCTATAGGCTACCAATAAACGCCATCAGATGAACTTGAGTCCTGCTACAAGCATAGTTGTTTGGGAGGTAATTGTTGGGGGCAAGAGGGCTGATACCAGATAATATTGCTACAGAGCTCTTTTTGTATAAAGACAACTAGTTCTTCCCCATAGGGCAGAGTTGCAAAAACAGAACTTATTCTTGGCTAATTTAAGCAAAACAGACATATATGAAAGACTCGTAGGCACTTACAGAGTCTCTGGTATGGCAGAGTCAGGCTCAAGAGCCAAGGCAGTGCCAACCCCACCCAAGAGGTTTCCTTGGTGCAGATCTCATTGCTGCTGGAAATAAACACTATACAGAATGAGGTTGGACACTGGACACCAGATATCCACCTTGTACTCACTGATGACTGGGCACCAGACACCATAGGTCTACTCTGCACCCACTGATGACCGGCACTGGACACCAGAAGTCCACTCGGTACCCAGTGATTACCAGGCACTAGATACCAGATATCCACCCTGCCGCCCCTAAAAGCTGGCTGTTTTCACCACTACTTTCTCTCTCAAAAGGGGTCCACACAGCTTCTCATGTTTGTGGCTTCTGAATGGAAGTCACATGCAAACATGTCTATTCCCAGCATCTAGGTCACATGTCTGCCCCTTATCTACAAGGTGAGCTGGACCAGCAGGGCCAGCCTTCTACCATGGTGAGGTGGGATCCATACAGGAGATGAGAGCCCCATGTAATGATGCTGACCCAAATCAGCCTGTGGGTCACAGTATGCCAGCATCCACCGCACTTTGCAAAACTACATTTCATTGTCTTCCATCATAAACCAGTCCCTTCTGGTTTCTTCTAGGCCAAGGCATGCCATTGTCATTCTCCCAGTCACTAGTCCAGAAACTTGGTAGCTGGACTTGGTTCCTTATTCTGCCTGAGCATCAGCCCATTTCCAACTCATAACCATTCTGCCTCCTAAATATCTTGACATCTGTCTCAATTCTTCAGCTCCCTGTGACCTCTCACCTGGGGATGGTAATACCTTTCTAGTGGCTTCCAGCCTCAGGGTGCTCCATACCAGCTCTTCCTCCCTACCATGCCTGGTGATACCATGCCTGGTCAAGTGCCGTCCCTCTTGTGTAAAAGCCCTCGGTGGGTCCCCACTGCCTTCATGAGAAAATTCAATCCCCTGGATCCTTTGGTAATAATTTATATTTACTTTTTGGGCCCTCATATATTGAATACTCTAGTAATATTCTTATTCTCTAACAGAATAAAAATAGCTACAGGTACTGAATACATACTAGATACAGGATGCTAGACAGTCCTCGATGTCGCTGGAGGTAGGTACCATTTCACAGAGGAAGAAACTGAGGCAAGCAACCATAATGGCAGCCTGGCATTCAAACATAGATCTCAATCTTGGGCTTTTAGTCAGACCTGTGTTTACTGTCTTCACTGAACTGCTTGCAGCTGGTCGCACAAAATGTGCTCTCTGTTACTTCTATTCACTTGACTATTCCTTTCCTCTTGCTTCAAATGGTGCCCTTCTTTGTTTCCTGACCCAAGTGTTACTTTGCTGCCTCCTCTGAAGATCCTTTCCCAGCCCCCCACCTTGTCATCACCAAGTGCTCATGTTGGATACTTCTCTGTCAGCACACAAATCCTTCCTAGCAGCACTGCTTCTCTGACAGTGTGTGAGAGCTGAGAGCAGGGACAGGGTCCTGCTCTGTCAGTGGGCATGTTGAATCAAGTGGATTATCCTCTAAAACACTAAGAGTAGTGCATATCTCATTCAAGGATTCCTGCATGGTCTCAACAGCTCTTGTTACTGCATGCAAGCCTGGACTGGCACCAGCACAAGAATGTGCAGGCCAGCTTTCCCAAAGAGTAAATGGGTGGGTGGGTGGAGTAAAAGTAAGTCACCTCCCACCCTTTTGTCCCACCAGCCATGACTTGGAAGAAAATAGGGCCCCTGCTGCGTTAAGTATTATCTCAACTTTTCACACTTGAGAAGATGCTTCCTGGAGCACTTTTAATGGGCCATCTCTTGGCTGGCTAGATTCTAAAAAAAATTGTGTATTTTATTACTCCAAAGAATTTACATTTTTCATCCTTTAAGCCTCACTTTGAGAGGAAGATAGATGGCTTTTGAGAGAGTAAGGCTGGGGTGGAGCAGGAATTCTCTGTCATTTAAATGGAAGTCAGAGTTACACTCTCTCATCCTGGGTTCATTCACTATACAGTGACATGGTCTCTGGCTCTGTGGCTTGGGAAGGTGACTAGGGTGGACTCCCAGGGATATCATGAACCAAGCTTCAGTGGTTCCTAATGGCTCAGTCTAAACTTCCAAGCCAGATGTGTTTACCTTCTTTCTGTCTAAAAGAGCCACCTCATAATTTCTCTTCATCTCACACTATGCTGGGAGCAACTGGATCTTCCTTAAACGATGTCAGCCTGGCTATTGATAAAGCTGGCATCAAGGTGAAGGGTCAGTGACCATCACTGCTTCTAGTTTCAAAGCATTTTGAAAAAGGATCACTCTGGCTCTGTATGGGAAGAAGCTGCCTAGCTGGGAAGCCCCTGATCAGGTGCCTGGCACATGGAAGGCCCGTGCAGCTGGCCCAGCCACTTCAGAGCGGGTGTCCAAAGGTGCCAGTGTTAATTTTATTAGTTCATGCATTCTTCTTGCTACAATAAAATGTATAAATATTTGTGAATTCTTTAATCCATTTTTTTGTCAGGACAGGGTAATATAAGTCAATACATTTCCTGGAGATTAGCAGAACTTTAGGATTATGATAAGCATATATGACTTGTCCCATCTTGGACTGCTTGAAACCTAGGCCGTAATGTTTCTCACGAGAACCCCTTGTCAAATTTTCCCACAGAGTGAGGTCTCAGGAGCCTGGCACATACCTGTGGGGATAGTGCCCCGGGCTTGGCTGGTGTCCGGCTGGGCTGTGTGCCGCAGACAACTGCCCACTGGGGGGGCGGCTGCTTGGTGCTGGGCCTGGGATGTTGTAAGGGGAGGGGCTGGCCTAGTGGCAGTGGCTGGGCTGCTCAGGCTTCCACCACCTGGGTGGATGGTTGTGGCCATCCCTTTGGCCAGTGGAGACCCTCCAACGACATTATTCCGGGGTGGCCCAGCTCCTCCTACCGGAGCCCTGAGGAAATAAAGCAGAATCCAGTCAGGTGAGGCCACAGATGAAACCACACAATACAGGCCATCAATAAAGGCCCACTCATACCTCCTGGTTGTGAGAGGTGAAGCCACACAGCTCAGGGCACAAAACTACAACAATGTCGAGATAATCCGGCAGGTGAGCAATGCCCAGAGCTCAAGCTTGGTAGTGGAGCACCCTTTGTAAAATCTTCATGGGGGTTCACTTTCAATATAAATAGTTAAGAAACAGCAAAAAAGCCCTAAGAACCAGCGATGATCCAAATCAATAAGATATTTTGTATCAGAACTACTGCCTTGATTCATTCTAGTAAACAGCTGGGTCCGTCCCCAAACACATCTAGAAAGAGTGGCTGAGCTGCCCACAGACAAGGCTGGGACACATCTGGCATGTGGTGGGAGGCAATGGCAAGGACCCATCTCCCTCTGGACATGGCTGACTTCTTGTTTCTGTTGGCTTCTGGAAAAGGGCACAGACAAACCACATCCTTCTGAGAGGTATCAGGGAACTTGCAGTATCATACCAGAAATAGATGCCCTTTCACCTCAGAGTTTCCAGATGAAATGAGTTTGCAATGTTTAAGAAATACAAGAGAAACATAGCAACTCTGAAAATGGGCTTTAGCCCTCTGACCTCCAAGTACTTGCACCAAACTCGTGCACTGGCAGTGAGCACGAAAGATATGGCAGAATCCGGGGGCTCAGAAGCTGCTGTGGGTTCAGTTTCAGGGATCAAGTATCTTCCATTTGTCCATGATCTGGGTAATCTCCCCTTCTGTCCTCTCAGATTCTCATCATGAGGGTGAGAATAGGCACTTCTAGGCCTGTCACCAGATCTGGGTGCCCTACCTCCTGTGGCTCAGTTCCACTGGGCTGTGCACTACTACGTCAGGGCTTCTGCAGAAGCAGTGTGGGAAGAAAGGTCTCGTGGAAGAGGACTCAGCTGTTCAGGGACCACAGGCAGCACCTTCCTTTCTCAGCCCCTATAGCTGCCATGAAATTAGCTTCTAGCAAGGAACTCTGTCAGCGGGCCAGTCAAAGCCATAAATTTAAATTTTTTTAAAAAAATTCATATCAGCTACCTGTTGTACTCACTTTTGCCCTTGGAAAAAAAAAACTTGTAAAAATTGAATAAAGTGAGCTCATAAATTATGGGCCTTTCCAAAAAGGGCGTCGGATAATGTGACAAGCAAGCCCATGTCATGGCCAGCACTGCTCCTCTGGGTGCCCTGGAAAGTGTGAATCAGTCTGGTGATCAGTGCAAGGTCTAGGCATTATTTGATTGTTTTCATGGCAGTCTTGTCCCAGAGAGAGCAGAAACCCAGGGTTGTTCCCAGAAAGGGTTTCTATAAGGGAGACTGGCAAATAAAATCAACAATGGACCCCTTATCTTAATGGAAAACTCTCAGACAACTCTAGATAACCTCTTGAGCAAAATTTTTAATTCCATTATCTGTTTTATAAAACTGATATAACAGGACATTTGTAAACGACAGGAAAGCATAAGAATTAGGAATTACTCCTAATGCCATCACTCAATAACAACTGTTAGGCTTTTGAGAATATATTTTTCCTTTGTGTATACACATAGGTGTGTGTTTTACGTATACCAGGTTTATGTGTATCACACACACACACACACACACACACCAGCTGTACAGACACTGGATGCACAGCACAGGTACATGTGCACACACACACATGAGATCTCACTCTCTTGGGGACCTTCCAATTTCACTTAGTGCTGTTGTCCTTAGTCCAGCTCATTTTGCTGCCATCTTCTCCCCTCACAGCCAATGTCTGCTGAGGGAATGACAAGCAAAACCTAATTCAGAAGGTGAGAAGCTGGCCATGTAGAACCCTTGCTCAAGGGCAGCTCTGAGCTCACAGGGCAAAACCCCATGAGCAGGGGCACCCTTGCTGACTCTGGACTGTGTGTTTTTGTCTTTCCCAGACCACAGCATGATATTCTGGTAGTAACCAGCTGCAGGGAAATGTGGGTAGTGTGTTCCCCACTCTCCCAGGCAGCAACACCTGCCTCACCTGGAGACGGGTGTCACGTAGTTTCCTGGGAACACCCCAGATAGCCCAGTCCTCAGGGATGTCCCTTTGAACCAGCCATCCTGACATTTCTCTAGGACGCGGTACATCTCACCCTTTCGCAGCTCCAGCTCGTCGTTCTTCTGGGGTTTGTAAGCATAGAGTGCCAGGTACCTATGGGCAGAAGAGCAGGGCCAAGGATAAATAATGGCTGGGAGGGGTGGGTATAGGCTATCTTGCATCACCTGGGTAACATGTGGGCTCATCTTTGGAGAAACCCAGCCTGATGCCTGTGGGGGTTTGTGCACACTGTGCCTGACCTACTCTTCATGATAAACCATGGTGCAGGGAACGGGGAGTACCCAGCACTGCTATCGCACCTAGTGAACCAGGTCCTAAGAGATACATGCAGGGCGGATACAGACCTCTGCCTCTTGTGCCTAGAACCCAGGTCAACCCACAGCCCTGCAGTGGCTGACCCAAGCAGGCAGGAATGTGACACCACCTCCCAGTCCGACAGCTCAGTGATCCTCTGTGACTCATCCAAGGCTGAGGATATACCAGAGGATGTGCCAGAGCCAGATCATAGGTCTTGGAACCCCTCTTTCTTCTTCTATTCTGCACAGCATTTCTAAAGCCTGATGTTCTGAGCAAGAGAAAACCAAGAATGAAGCAGCAAGCATTGGGCTGGGTTTCCTCATTCCATCTAACTGGGTCCATTCAATCAGTCTGAGCTGGAAGATACCTGCCTGGTCCATTTAATCAGTCTGAGTTGGAAGATACCTCAAAGGCCCCTTTAAAGAAAAGGCAGTCTACTTAGGGTATTCTTGGTTGCGTTCGTCCTTGCAATATCTGTGCCATGGCTAATTATTTAAATTCTACTTTTCTTTTGAGCCTATCTGAAGACAAATGAAGAGCAAACTCAGTGGTATAAATCCTGGCCTAGGGTTTAAAAGTAGTGTCTGTAACAGCCCATGACCCTAATGACCCATATCACTAGGTATTTGATACCTCAATCTCCAACCCCACAGGGCACTTGCAAGGACTGGATACTTGTAAAATGCTTTCCTACTGTGGGTTTTTGGGTAAATTGGTTTTAAATTGATAGAGAGAACCATATCAGGCAACTATATTGTTCACAAGAGTCAGGAGGAAAGCTGATGAGGCTTTGGCTCTTTAAGAGACGAAAGATGAATTATAAAGAAATGCCATCTCTTGGATCTCCTACCAGGATGGGCAGCTACACGGGCGTGCTGATCCTTCCCAGGACTATAGGCTCTAGGGGCTGGAGGAGAGTCACAGGTCTCTGGGGATCTGAGGCAGCTCACAGACCCCCAGAGGGCCCTTCTGACCCTGGGAAGGGCTTTCTCAGTATGCAAATACAGAAATAGACATGACTCACTCACTAGTGTTAAGGCAGGAAGAAAGGAGGCCCAAGTCTCAGAGTCTCAGAGGCCCAAGGAGGAGCATGCTAGAACAGAATGGGAACCTGTAAAGAGGTCTTGGTCCTAACATAAAGTAAGGTAAAGTAAGGTAAAATAAGGTAAAACAACATAAAACCTCCCATCCCTTTCTAATCCCTGACCCTATACACTGCAAGTTCCTCTGTTTCATTCAATTGAGGCCTTGGCTGGTTTATTTCTTCTCTTTACAGGTTGGCAGCCCCCCCTTCCCTTAGGGATAAAAGGATGGCTTACATCTTTATTTCTGTTTGAAAAGATAAGCATTGACAACTAGCAAGGACTCTGGGCTTCAGAGAGAATAAAGGAAGCCATCACTGGAGGGGACACTCTTGCCTGTCATGGGCAAAAAGATTCAGGTTTTTGACGCAATGCCCAGGTGACAAAGAGAACCCAGGATGTCATCTGTCTTTTTTCACATCTAATGACTCATAAGAGCTCTTTGATGACAGAGGAATGACCACAAACAGGAAAGTCATGTGACAACTGCATTTGCGCCAGGGACGCCAGGATGCCAATTAACCACTCAGAGGTGGCCTCATGTCGGGAGTTGCAGCTCGAGCTTGGGCAAGAGCAGGCTGAAAACTAGGGGAAAGGGGAAGAGCAGGCTGAGGCTGCAGGAAGCTTGTGAACAATGACAGGGATGCACGCCTTTTTGGGCTTGCTCTTAAGGAAAGGTAACTGAAGCATAAATCCTCTTTGTTTGCCTCATTCCATTTCTCTGTGATGTGAGAACAGTCTTTTTGATTCCATGGCCAGTGAATACATAGTGTCCAGGAGCACAGTGTCAAGCTGGGGGTGCTGGCTTCTTGGGTTGTGTGTGCCCACAATACAGACCTCAGCAAACAATCATGATGGCCAGGGAGGGAGGAACTGCATGCTGCCTTTGTTCCCTTTGCCCAGCAGGGGCGACAGGCACTGGACTCACATTGCCAGCTTGGCCAACAGGGTGGGGCACTCACATCTATATTGCACCCACTCCTGGGGACTTTGCAGAGCCTGGAGGCCCATGTGGAGTAGTGGTGCCATCACATGAGGCCCACAACTGGCCTGTGCCCCACCATTTGCCTCCTCAATCTTCAGGCCTAGGAGGAGACCAAGTCCTGTGTGCCTTGGGCATGTCCTCCTCCTCACCCTGGATGACTGGCTGTCCAAGGACTGGGCCAGTGGGCCATCACCTAGTGTCTTGGGGTTGCACTCCATGGTTTTATGTCCACTTGGGCACTGTCTGACAGAAGACCCCTTTTTCCAAAGACTGTTTTCATACACAGAGGTTCAAGGTTGGCTGAACTCCTCAAGGAGGACATCATGTTGGAGAGTTTAAATGCCTTCCTCTTCCACTCTCATCTCCCCACTTGTGGGGAGGAATCCTGTGCAATTGAATTTTCCTATGACAAGAAGTGACAGATGATCCTGTCCTTAGTTAGGATCCTGGTGAGAGGCAGCCACCTGCTACCCTGTGGCACATCGACTTCCTGAGTAGGGCAAGGGCCAGTGTGGAGGGAGCCTAGTCCAGCCCAGAGTAAGGAGACCACATGTGGGCATCTCTAGCTGGGGTTCCCAGAAAACCTTGACTCAGGGAAGCTCTACACCAAGGTGTCCCCCAAATATGCTAAATTTTCACTGACTTTCGCCTCTATCTGGGGTCTCATCTCTCACTCTGCTGTCCTCCACTCCCCACTACACTGTATGCTCCACAAGGGTAGAGATTTTTATCTGTTTTGTTCACTGCTCTATGCCCAGAACCAGAATGTGTCTGGCACATAGTATTCTCCTAATAAATACTTGTTAAAAGAAAAATAAAATAGAGGCTTTGGTTTTGAGACTAAGATGAAGACTGCTAAAGGAAAGTGTGTGTGTCTATGGGTGTATCTGCATGTGTGTGGGCATGTACTAGAAACTGTCTGATATAGCCCTAAAGTCGGCCAGCTGGCCTTGGACATAAAAACAAGCACAGAGGAAACAGGTACCAGTTTTCCTCATTCAGGAGGTCCATTCAGTATGGGGTTGAGGGTACTGTGCAGGAGGGAATGGGCACCATGGGGAGGTAAGAAAGGGCAGAAAGGATGGGGCTGAAGTCTGAGGATATCTAAACAGTAAGGAGAGGTATAAAAAGGAGAAGCAGAGGGTGAACAATAGGACAAGATGGCAGAGATAGCTGAATCCAACCCAGAGAGAGCTGAGGTGCCCTGAAGAACCTGGACAGAGGGAAGCAAGCAGAGAAGGCAGTGAGCTGAGGGAGGAAAGGAAACAACTGAGGCACAAGGAATGTGAAGGGGTGAGAGGGGAGTCAAAGAGGGAAGTAAAAAGTGGAGTCAAAAAGCTTCTATTAACAGAGTTTCCAAACCAGATAGTTCAGCCCTTGGGGGGGGGGGGGTGGTCAAGGAGCCATCTAAACAGGGCCCTGTGTGTGGCCTAGACAAAGGTAGCTTTGATGGGGTGAGGGGACTCTCTTTTCTCCTCCACCTATCTTTGCAGCCCCTGGGGCCAGGGTGACTTCCATGTGCCACCTGCACTGTCCATCTGCTCAGTGGAGTTTGAAGCTATGGATGGAGGGACACCTGCCCGATTGCAAGCTGGCCCTGGCAGAGGGAGGACAGACACCAGGTGAGTGTGCAACTTTCATGTTGGCACAGCAGCCCAAGGACCAGGACCTGAACCTGCCCACACCTGGCTCAGTGAGTGACGTCCATTAGCAACCAACCTCCACACTCCCATTTAAAAAGTAAAGCAATGTTACCAAGTGTGATAAACACCCCATGAACCATATGAAATGCTTGACAGTCATTTTTGTGATTCTGTGGGACTAGACATCAAATAATTGAAGGTTAATTGTCTTTAGGGAAGGAGCAGATTATCTTTCCCTAATTATTATGTTGAAGTATCCCTCAACATTTGAGGATCCCCATGCCATTTAGTGGAACAAAGACTTCACATTGACTTAGCACAAAAGGGGAGTTTCCATCCTTCCCCAACAAAATAAAAATGAAAAAAAATTAGATTATGAGTTTCAAGCCATCCTGATTAAGACTTTTAAGTTAGAAAAGTCTTCTTTCAAAATGCCATTTTTATTTTAGAGAAGCACAGACATGTGTCCTGGTGAAATAATAAAAGCAGGAAAAGGTGCAACCTAGAAGTGAACATGGCTAAACACCATTGCTTAATCTGTCTGACTGGAGCAAGTGTGAAGGTCCACTGAGCGGGGACACCAGCACCTTCTGCACTGCCCGGAATCTCGTCCTCTGGCACAGGACCCGCTGAAAGACAGTGTCACTGAGGTTAGTTTGCAAACATAGACAGAATTGGATTTTATGCTACATCATGCCCCTTCACAGGGGAGGTTTGGATTCTTAACAGTGGGAAGTCCTTTCATGGTTTCATGTATTCTACTAAAAAAAATGCTCCATGACACAGATACCCCTTGGGTGCTAACAATGGGCAGCACAAAGGGTGTCATTTCCAGGGATGCCATCACCTCCAAGGGAATGACATACCCTCCTCAAAACACAGCTCTAAACTCTAAATTGTCCTGCACAAATTCTAATTTTACCTTATTTATAAGCAGCTGATATCTGGGGGCCCTAAGGATAGTTGCACAGAGCTCCATGCCCACCACAGGCATGTGGACCACTGGCTAAGGAAGGACGGGGCAGAAGCACAGAGAAGTGGCATCTGCCAGGTGCCAACCTCTCCCAGGGCTTTGCCTAAGCCCCA